AACAATTTCATCAACAGGAAAAGAGAATTGAACAGAAGTAATATCCAAAGATATTCCCTCAGAGGGCTCTCTGTAGGAAGAAAATATTGTTGTAGACATTATGTTAAGGCCAATGTCCACACTGTTTGAAAAAAAAAAGTCTGACTCAAAGACTTCTTCAAGTCTTGAAGAAAATGAAACAACGGGTCTTGATGGAAATGTGGTATCAAAAACTTCGGGAGCTGACTCCTCCAGTTCATATAGGTTAGAAATTACAGTTGTAAGTGGAGTAATGCCTTTTTCCTTAGAGTCTGAGAGTGACAATGTTTCAATATAATCACCCGAACCAACATCATGTTCTGTGTGTCTAATTGAAAAAACTTGTTCTGGTGGAACTGAGGTCAAGTCACAGTATGAACATGAAGCATATGGTCTAGTGAAAGGCACTGGGCTCACGAACTCACTGAAGAGCTCAACATGACTTGATATTTCTAAATTGCCAGGCAAATTTGGTGTTGCACTGGAGGATTCATGAAAAAACACATGTGTAAACAAGTCATCAGTAACAAAAGTATCAGAGACAATGGAACTAGGAGCTGAGTGAACTGGGAAAGAAACATATGAAGGACTAAGTGGAAACAAAGCAGACTCCATGCTGGTTTCCAAACCAGGTGTTACCCTAGAAATGCTTGCAGAGTTGGTCGTTGGATCCAAAGTTTCTGTTGCATCACTATTCAAATCAGGGTAAGCTTCAGTGTATTGATCAGTACTTTCTACCAAAGCATCTGACGTAACGTGGGTATCCTCATTCTGCTGTGTCATGAGAAGAGATGACCCTTCTGTAGTAGTATCAAAAGGCAAAATACTGCTCTCTGTACTTTGATGTGGTTCAGACACCTCTGAGAGCAAGGAAGAACTTTGCGGCTCTGAGGAGAAATCAGAAAAATAAAAGAAAAAAACCTGATTAGTTACAATGCAGTCAAGTGCACTAGGACAGCAATCAGGAAACTCTACAAATTGTGGTTAGTAGACAACACTCTCAGAAATTCTAAGTCAATAATCAGAAAATGACAACCAAGACAGAGCTAACATTTCCGAATCACAATACAGGTTGTACATCCCTGGTCCAGCGCCCTGGGGACCTGATCTATCCTGAACTAAGGAATTTGCTAGATCATGGGAGGTTGATGCCAGCACCTCTGCTGCCACTGACTACTGGGATCCATTTCTGCAGCAATAGAGGGGCCAGCACTGACCACTTGGGGATTAGTGGAAGCACATGGGGGAATAGGCAGAGTGCTGTGAAAGGACTAGGAGTCCAGCCCCATGGAAATGCACTGAGTCCTGTGGCAACTGGCCTGTGCTCCCAGATGCCACCGCCAGCTGTGGGGCTATGATCCTGTCCCCTAGCCACGGGGCTCTACAGACACTCACCCTGCCTCTTCCCCTGATTATCTCCATCCCCACTTCTTCCTCTCCCGCCCTGTGCTTGCAGGGCACCAGATGATCTGAGAGGGTGGGGGAAGACTTGCTGAGCAGGGACTGAATTTCCCCGGTGAGTGTTCCAGCCTAGGAGCTTCCATGGGGATGCTGGGCCACAGATGGTGCCAGACTACAGAAGTCCAGATCATAGAGGTCAAACCTGTATAGATCATCAAATGTTACTAGAGTAATACATTCAAATGGGCGCAGATTGTATATCAACATTAAGCTCCTCCCAATCCACATCTCACTCTAGCACAAAAATAGTCTAGGTAAACCCTTCAAATTTATAGGCTCTTTAAAGAGATAGGGTGGGTGAGGTAATTTATCTGTTATTGGACAAATTTCTGTCAGTGAAAGCTCTTCTTCAGGTCTGTGTAGCTCAAAAGCCAGTCTCTCACTCTCAGAAGTTAGTCCAAAAAAAAAAAAAAAAAAAGATACTACCTCACCCATTGTATATGTCTAATAACCTGGGACCAACAGGGCTACAAAAACACTTTAAACTGGATCTTTAAAGGAAATAGCTTTGTTTTTAACTTTTTTATGTACTATAATATGTGCCAGCTAACATTCTAAGTATATAAAAATGCCTAAAAAGGCATAATGCAGAGTAGAATTCAGAGCATCTTTGAGGACTTAATTTTATTTTTTTAATTCGTACTATTGAATTTCCTTAAATTTTTATTCTCACCAGTGAAGTGAACACAGAATGCAGAGTGAATAGTTATGTAGTACAGGCAGGATTCTGACACCACACCAATCAAAGTACAATGGTCCAAGTTTTCAAAAACAGACAACAACATTATGCCTGCTGCCCTTTTGACATGCGTGCTTAAGCAGAAAATCAAGCACCCTCCTGAATTTGCAAACACATTGCTGTTTATGCATGGAAATATGGGGTTCAACAATTAATGGGGGTGTGCTATTATGTTGGTTGGCTGGCAAATTGGTACATTCAAAAATTGCAATGTTCACCCACATTGAAGTTCTTTGGTCATAGGATAATGGAAAAGAAGTGCTGAACAGATCTCGAGAGGTCATCTAGTCCACCAGTACAACTTTTTTCAGTAAGTTCTCCCCACCCACTCCCCCTGAACAGTAGGTGGCAATCACTGTCCTCCTGCTTGCTATAGGCACAGTCCAGAATAATTACTATACAGGCAGTCCCCGACTTACGCGGATCCGACTTATGTCGCCACCCGTGTCCTCCGGGGCGAGAAAAGCTTCTCCCGGTCTCCCTGGTCTACTGGGGGGGGGGTCCAGCAAAGCCACTGGACCCCCCCCAGCAGACCAGGGACACCCGAGCAAAGCCGCCGCCTTGGCGGCTTTGCTCGTTTGCCCGGGAGCAAAGCCGCTGCGGCGGCGGCTTTGCTCGGGTGTCCAACCCCCCCCCCCCCGGGGGGAGGGGGTTCAGCGGACCCGCCGTCTAGGGTCCCCCGTAAAGGGGCCCCCAGTTCAAGTGCGATCACCCGGCCGCGAGTCCTGACCGGGGATCTGAGGACTCGCGGTCCCGACTGCTCTCTGGCAGCCCCGGGGGTACTGGTCTGTCCGGGTGCTCGGGCGAGTGGACGGGGTCGCCCCCGGCGGCCTGTCCGTGGGCAAGGTCCTCGCCGGGGCGAAAGGAGGGTAAGGGCCTTAAGGCCCCCTTCTCGCCCTCTACTGTACTTTGCGTTGTTCACCCCCGCGGGGGGGTGATGCGTGGGTTGGGGTTTCGAGGTGGGGAGGAGGTGTGGGGGACCCGGGCCCGCCCTCTCCACTAGGTCCCAGCCCGGGGCCCTAAGTGGGGGAACAATGGAGGCGTTCCTCCCATGACAGGTGGGGTCTATCCCCGTAACGCACCTGTCCACGGGCGCCAGAAGGACCCCGCACCGGGCTCCTTCCACTTCCCACTACCCTCTGCCTCGTCG